TGCAGCTAGAAAAAGGGCCTCCTTCCAGTGGTGTACCAAAAAACAAAATTACAAATCAAGACAATAGAGAGCCAGGCATACAACAAACTAAATTAAACCTTGAATCTGGAGCAGACACTGTCACTGTGTCACTCCAAATTTTCGACCGACTACTCTAATTAAATTATTATGTCCATTAACATATATGCCAGCCCTGGTCGTCACCCAGCAACCACAGTGCAGAGGGCACTGTGGTTGCTGGGTGACCCCATGTCTGGGGCTCTCCTCAGCTCTTTCCGGGAGGGTGGTGCGGTTGTCTCTCCGGTGGTCCTCCTTGGGGTTTTGCACTTTGGGGGGCCTTTGGATATCCGGGCCTGTTGTAATCAGGAAGTCATGCACACAGAGACACACACTCACTCATGTGCACACACACACACGTGCGCACGCGCGCGCGCACACACACACACACAAACAAACAGTGCCTTATCTTTTATAACCATAGGGTTTTTTTTACAATGGGTGGTGCTTGTGTGTACTGTAACTGTTTTCAATAAAAGGCGGCAAGCGGAGGCCGGAGTCGGAGTCGTCTGAGGTTGGGTTCAGAGTGCTTTTCTGAGACACCGACTGGGGCTTCCCTTGCGCAAGTTAAAACCGATCGATCACTGTTTGCCTTGATTTGTTCACAGGAATAAGTTTCTGAACCAGCGGGCCTGCTGCTGCGCAGACCCAACAAGCTGCGTCACAGCAGGGCTGAGGTGATTCAAATTTACTAACGAGGTGGCTTGTAAGAGGCTTCGGCAGCTACACTGTTCCGCTCGGTGGTTGGTAAACGCTCGGTGGCACCAAATGAACACCTACCAGCCGTAATGGAGGCTTCAAGAAGGTATCCACAGGTGATATTAGTAACATGAGTAACACTAATCAACACACGTATCACCAAGTCAGGTTTGGCAGTGACATGTACGTAACTCCTAGCTGCAACACTGGGGGAGGTCAGGTGACCAAAAAGCCGGATGGGGATGACAACAGGTACGCAATTCGGGGCGCTCAGATAGCCGCTACTATTTATAGCAGCGCCCCCTTATGTGCCTTACTAATAGTGGGATCAACAACCAGTAAATATAATGTTCATCCTGCTACATAAGTAAGGATTCAGAGTCACCTGATCCAGCCCTAACTACATGCTTTAGCAAAAAGGAAAGCTTTTGCTCAATCCTGAATCCAAACTAGAAGCTGGTTCCACAGAAGCGGGGCCTGAAAACTGAAGCCTCTGCCTCCCATTCTATTTTTAAATACTCTAAGAACAACAAGTAAGCCAGAAGTGCGAAAGCAAAGTGCTCTAATAGGGTGATATGGTACTACAAGGTCATTAAGATAAGATGGGGCCTGATTATTTAAGACCTTGTGTGAAGTCGGACCCTGACACACCAAGACACTGACGTGGTGTAGAACAAAAATTAAAGAAAAGCGTGAATCAACATATAAACAACGCCTGATGCTGCAGAAGTGAAGCAGAACAAAGTTACAGAGGTTTTATTAGAGACACAGCTAGTGTCTTGCAAGTGTTTTGCAATTTCGCATAATTTTAAAGAGTTTACATTTGTTCAGTACTGAACAGCAGAGATGAGACTTTCTTGTAAGTAAAA